GCCGGCACAGCCACCGTCCCCAGGGCTCTACTGCTGCGGGCCCTCGCCCGTGGCCGCCGTCCGCAGGGGCAGCATCTTCATGGGCTACGACACCAAGTTCGTGTTCTCGGAGGTGAACGCCGACAAGACAAGCTGGTGTGGCTGGTGAGGACGGTGGGCGGGCGCGAGAAGGCCAGCCTGCTGGCGGTGGAGACCGTGAGCATCGGCAAGAACATCAGCACCAAGGCGGTGGGCCAGGACCGGCACAGGACATCACCCACCAGTACAAGTTACCCGAAGGTAGGCGGGGCCAGGCGCCCTGTCCGTGTCCTGTGCCAGAGACAGCGGTGTGACGGTGAAGCCTTGTGGCCGCTAAAGGTGGAGGCAGTGGGGAGGGGCAGGTCTGTCCCGCCAGCACTGGGGGAGGCTGAGGCAGGAGGATTGCAAGTTCCAGCCCAGTCTGGGTAACTTAGTGACTTGCACCGGGGATAAAGCACGGTGTGACCGACCCGGGTTCAATCCTCAGTACCAGCAAAAAAAAACAAAAACGAAAACAAAATCCTATTTGAGTGGCATCTGGCAGCATAGCCCCCAGGCCGGGAAGCTCAGGCCCGGCTCCCCAGCCCAGACTCGTGGCTTGGGTGGAGCGACACTGATCACAGGGATGGGAAAGGGAGAGCAAGCAAACGCACAGCAGAAGGCCGAGCGGCGTGAGGGGCAGGGCGGCTGGACGAGAGGGGGCGCCGGAGCCTGTGCTCAGCACTGCCAACCGCAGCCTCTCCTATCACACCAGGGCCCCGCTGGTCCAAGTTCCCTTCTGCACGCCGTGTCCACTCTGAAGGACCTGACCCCATCGGCCTCTGGGCACACTGCCCCTCGGCCCCTTGCACACACACGCACGTGCACACACACACAAATTTTTGGTACCAGGGATTGAACTCAGGCCCTTGTGCTTTCGAGGCTGGCGCGGTGCCACTGAGCGACATCCCAGGCCCTTCCTTGCACATATTTTAGAGCTCACGTCAAGGGTTTGTCCCACAAATCTATGTCCAGGCTCCTTCAGAGACATTTCTGCCGTGTCCCTCTCTTTCTCTCTGTCCCTCCGGAGGCGCTGGGGATAGAAACCAGAGCCCTGCATAGATAAGCAAGCAATCCACTGGAGTTAGGCTCCCGCCCTTCTGATTTTGAGGCTGGGTCTTGTCCAGTCACCCAGGCTAGGCTCTAACCTTCGATCCTCCTGCCTCAGCCTCCTAGAGTGGGAAGATTACAGGGATGTGCCACCATGCCTGGCTCTCAAGGAGTTTCTCCTGACTGCTTTTCCCCCCACCGTGTATCGCCATAGTTTTTCTTTGTATGCCCTGTGGTTTCTTGCTGAAAACTGTACCTCTGAAGAATATAACAGGGCAGCTCCTTTCCTACGGGGCAGAGCCTTGGGGCCCTTACAGGTGAGGGCTGTGGCTCCTCAGGTCTCTGCAGACCTTTCGGTCCTGGTTCGGTTCTTCCTCAGCTCTGCCTTTAAGTTTTGGTCAGCTGCGTTAGGCAGTGGCGATGTTCAGTCATCACGGCCCTTTTCCTTCTTACTTTTAACAAATGCGCCTGGGAAAATGTGGTTTGTAAAGCAGGAGCTCCGAGCCAGCTCAAATGACACCGCTCTGGGAACTGAAGTGTCCGGGGAGCTGAGCTGTGGGTCACATGAAGAGAATTCCCTCTTGGGCCACTTCGCTGCTGGCCCCAGGAGGAAGAAGGTGGGTGGGGGGGCACAGGTGGAGGCGCTTGACTTCCTTCCTCCTGAGGTGACGGCTGCTTTTCCTCAGTAAAGGCTGCTCTGGGGGTCCCCAGCCTTTAGTTAATCTCAGGAATTAGGAGGAAGTTGATTTTCATAATTTCTCCCAGTTTCTCAGCGCTTTTATGGCGAGGCCAAGCTTTGGGGGTCTTTATTCTGCTGTTCCCGCTGTCACCGAGCACCGGTGTAGGTGCTCTGGGGGTCCTGGGGTCCTCTGCGGCCCGCTCAGGTGGCTGCTGTGTCGCACACAGGCTCCTCCGAGGAGAGGGCGGTCATGGACCACGCCTTCTTGCTGCTTAGCTTCAAGCGAGAGTACACGATCCCCGTCAAGGAGAACCTGCTGGAGCTCTCTGTGCGAGAGGAGCCGGTGCTGCTGGGGGACCCTCTCAGCTTCTCTGTGACCCGGAGGAGGAAGGCTGCCACCCCCCAGACAGTTACCTTCTCGGGCTCCTTTGACCTGCAGTCCTACACGGGCAAGCAGCTGGCATACCTGGGTGTCATCCAGAAGACCGTGCATGTCGAAGATGAAGGTACTGGGCTGGGCAGAGCACTGGCTGGGAGGGGTCGGGTCCCTCTGAGACCGTCTTCTCGGTGACTGTGCACCAGCAAACAGTGCGTGCGAATAGTATCAGCACGCACTCAGCAAGTGTCCACGTCTGGGAGGTCACAAGGGACCAATGTGGGCAGACGGGGACCAGGAGCCTGGGGGCTATCAGTCAGAAGTTGGGGGTGCTAGATGGGTCGGTACAGATACCTTCCAGCCAGGCGTGGTGATGGACGCCTGTAATCCCACTCTGGGAGGCTGAGGCAGGAGGACGGCCAGTTGGAGGCTAGGCTGAGCAACTAAGTGAGACCTTGTTTCAAAATAAGAAGGGCTGGGGATGTAGTGAAGGACCCCAAGTTCAGTCCTTGGCACCACAGAACACAATGAGAGTATTTTATGGTGCTAGAGACTTAACCCGGAACATCCGTCCGCTCAGTGGTCATGGGTGCCCGGGCGCCGTGTCGGGGAGTGGACTGTCCCCGCAGCTGGCACATCGGTCACGCTGTGGACGGGGCCTGGAGAGCTTGCCAGGGTGGAGTCCGAGTTGAGCCCGACTTCTTGTCTCACAGGGAGGGTGGGACGGTGCCAGGCCAAGCCCAGGTGATGCCAGCCTGTGCCCGATGACAAATGTCACGCTCCCCTGCCTGCGCCTCTGCAGTGTCCAGTGTGGTCCTGACCTGGGACTCCAGCACCTACACTGGCAGCCTGGACTTGTTTGAGGATGAGCCGGTCATCAAAGGCTTCATCTTGGTGGAGGTGATGGAAACCAAGGAGACCATCGCCACCGAGGGTCGCTGTGTTTCCGGTACCCCCAGTTCATTACAGAGGTGAGCTGAGCTGCCGCGGTGCCCGCGTTCCCCAGGAAAGTGGCACCGTTCTAAGCGGGTGTTTCTGGGAAAGGGGCAATTTTCTAACTCAAAACTTCCAGGCTCTAAACGAGCCACGCCTGTACACGGCACAGAATTCCAAAGCTGCTGGCGGGGCGTTGCGGAGCTCTCCAGCCTGCTCTCAACTCTCGCGCCTCCTTCCGGAAGTGGCTCATGTCGCCGTCCCCTTACCTCTTCCTGTACCGACTGTTACACACCGCAGTTAAAGCTCAGGTCTTGGCGCAGGAGCCCAGGCCGTGTGGGGAAGCGAGTCCTCACCCATTCCTCTCTGCAAACCCAAGACCCCAACAGCTCCCTAGGAGGCTGCCCCGAGCCCTCCGGGGGAGCCGGGGAGGGCACCTGGCGGCTGGGCCACAGATGGTGGGCGACGAGGCAGTCCTGGCCCAGCCTCACCCCGGATGTGCTTCCCCACAGAATGGGGCCTCGGCTGTGACCCCGCCTTGAGCGGGGAGAAGGCCCGGCATCGAGCAGGGGAGCTGATGCCTGCCCGGCCTCGAGCACAGGCGCTGCCTGAGGGGCTCTGGCAGAGGCGTGGCGGTGGCTCTGGGACAGCTTTGGGCTGCTCTGGGCATCTTGGGGCTGGTTTGTGAGCTGGGCACAGGAGCCGGGCGGGAGCTTGCAGGTGGCACTGAGGAGACAGGCAGGTGCTGAGCCCGAGGCTGGGAGGGCACTGTCCCCAGGATCCCCAGTCCGTCCGCTCGAGGGGGGCTTGGGAGGTGCAGGCTGGGGCGTGCCGAAGTTCTCTAGTTTGGTGAGGAGGGGTCCTGATCGGGGTTGAAAGAGGTCAGGCTAGGACCTCTGGCTGCCAGAGGACTCTGAGCTTTAGATGCCTTTAAGAAAATGTCTGGTAGACGGGTGTGGTGGCGCATGCCTGTAATCCTGGCATTCAGATCTCTGTGAGTGTAAGGCCAGCCTGGGCTACACAGTGAGACCCTGTCTCAAAAAGGCAGTAAACAGCCAGGCGTGGCGGCACATGCCTGTCATCCCAGCACTCGGGAGGCTGAGGCAGGAGGATTGCTGTGAGTTTGAGACCAGCCTGGGCTGCATAGTGAGTTCCAAGTCAGTCTCAACTACATAGTGAGACCCTGTCTCAAAAACAAAAAAACAAAACAAAACAAAAAAAAACCAAAAAAAGAAAGAAAGAAAAGAAAAAGCCAGTAAACAGATGAATAAGTGAGTGAATAAATAGGAAAGCTCTGACAGGGCCCAGTATATAAGGCTGTGGATACGGGTGCAGAATCGCCAGCAATACCAGAAGCAGAGAAAGGCTTCGACAGAGGAGGGTCTTCCCTAGAGACTCTAAGGACCCCGGGGTTGTGGGCACTCTGACCACAGGGACAGGGACACAATTTTCCCAATGGAATTGGTCTTCCGTGTTGATCTGACATACAGCTCACACGCCTCCTCCATCTCCCCACAGCTGCCCAACAAAGGCGGGGTGGGCCAGGCCCTCACGTGTACCTGCACCTTCCGGAACTCACTGGTGACCCCACTGACCCACGTCATGTTCTCTGTGGAGAGCCTGGGCCTGTCCTCCCTGCAGAGCACGGAGCAGGGGTGAGTCTGAGCCTCCATCTGAGGACTGGGGTCTGGGCTCGGTCCGCGTCTCTGTGAGGAGGATCTGTCTGGCTGATGATTGAGGGACTGTTTCCAGCAGGCTGCCTGTCCTAGCTTTTGTCCATTTTCCTACTGAGTCGCGCTCTTCTTCGTATTAATCTGATACCGTTGTGTTGCACAGTGTCAAGCTACCACTGCAAACCATTTATCACGGTCTCAACCTTTTTTTTCTTTCCATGTTGGGGATCGAACACAGGACCTTGTAGGTGCTGGGCAAGAGCTCTACCACTGAGCTGTCCCCGGGCTCCCCTGCCCGCCTTTTCTCTCAACACTCACCATTAGAACCTTTTCCTTTGTGGATACTGAGTTTCACGTCGCCCCAAGAATACAGATATAATCTGCTGTGCTCTTCCTAGAATTTCTGGCTGAACTATAATTTGGGGATGTGGAGCAATGCAGTGCCCCAGCTTTGTCAAGTACACAGCGTCAGGGCTGGGATCTCAGGTGTGCGCCACGATGCCCGGCTGGTGCTGACTCTGCAAGCTCCGGGGCAGGCCAGGGCCAGGGCCAGGACCACACTTGGAGTAGCCAGGGCTGGAGAGCACTTTCAGGTCGGGAGGCGGCTACTCCTCAGGACACGGGGTTGGGGGGAGAGCTGGCAGCCAGCTTGTCTTACCTGGGTGCGGCCGCCGCATGGTGCCCAGATGGCCACAGCTGTCCTGCGAGGCCACGGCCCGGGCCTGGGCTCCTCCGCTCCTCTCCCCGGCATTGTGGCTAATTCCACATCTGTCCGTCACTTGCACAGGACGGTGCCGCCGGGCAAGACCATGCAGTCCCAGATCAGGCGCACCCCGGTGAAGGCGGGGCCGCGGAAGTTCGTCATCAAGCTGAGCTCCCAGCAGGTGAAAGAGATCCACGCGGAGAAGATGGTTCTCATCACCCAGTAGCCACTGCCCAGCTGCGGGGACCACCCACGCGGAGAAGATGGTTCTCATCACCCAGTAGCCACTGCCCAGCTGCGGGGACCAGCGGGCGCCCAGCCACGGGGTTGAGCTTGTCGCATTCCCTTCACACTTAGCTGCAGATCACGCACGATTAGCTTTGGCTGCACACGGGAGGCAGAGTCAAGAGCCAGTGGGCAAAAGGCAGGAGTTTAAGGACAGCCACCGGCCTCGGCCCAGAACCCTCCACCTCCAGGTCATGGCCTCCAGAAGCACGGCTGCTGTCATCTAGATTCAGAGTCCAACAGTCCACAGCAGGAAGCCACCCTGGGGAGAGGCTCGGCGGGGACCAGGCTGAGGGAGGCCAGATGAGCGGGCCCTGCCCTCCGCTCCCCACAGAAGCCGCTTTCCCTGGCTGTGCCTCCCACGCTGCTCTCGTGATCAGGTGCCTCTAATTAAACGCTGCTTCAGGGTGACACGTGGCCCAAATCACTCGTTCTTTACGTCCCAGGTCCGGGCTGCGCCCCTTGGGCGGCAGGGAGCCGGTGGAACCCTAACCGCAGGGCTCTACTCCCGGGACCACTTCCTCCCTGTCCCCTGGGGAGCTCAGCTGTGCGGGAGCCGCCCGGTCAGGTCTGGCTGAGACCACACACCGAGGCAAAGGTTCCACATGGCCATCGTGGGCGTCGTGACACGTCGTGACACGTCCTCACACACACGCACACACGCACACGCGGGGAAAGCAGCGACTCGCGCCGAGGCCGAGGGCTCTTTATTACAGGAGGCGGAGGCGGAGGCCTCGCTGTGCCGATGCCAAGCAGAATGCTGAGTGGCAGCTGCCACCAGGGAGAAAGTGCCTGTGCCCGGGTGGGGGCCTGAGGCTTGGGCTGCACACGGGACCCTGTGACCTGGCCGAGGTGGGCTGATGACAAGGGTGGGAGGACGCCGCGCCCGGGGCTGCTGGGGCTCGGGCACATGCCAGCGGCCAGCTCCCTTCCAGCCCCTCTGAACACTCACTGAGCCGCCGCTCTCGACGCAGGGTGAGCGCGAGGGTTGGGGCAGGGTGGGCCTTGTCCCAGAGTCTGGGGACAGAGGAGCTCAGACGGCGCCACCACCGGGAGCCTCCTCCCTCTCCACCATCCCCAGCTCCTCGGTGATGACTCTGAGGGAAGGGGAGGGTGACGCGGGCCTCTGGGCCGCTGCAGCCACCGCAGGGACACAGGTCGAGGGGGACCGTGGGCTCTGGCATGGGCTGGGCTTGGAGGAGTTTCTCAGACAGCGGCTGTGCAGAAGTGGCCTCCGCAGCCACTGCCGTGGGCTCAGGGACCCCGTACCCCGACTTCTTGGGGGCTGAGGGTTCCAGGTGGCACGGGGTGCCTGTCCCCGTCCACCTTGGCAAGGCGTGGCCATCGCCCTCTGGGGGGTCCGGCTGGCCTGGGTGGGGTCCCGGGCCCTGCTCCTCCAGAAGGGAAGCGCTGCTCCCATCCCCTGAGCGGCTGGGTCCCCAGCACAGCTCCAGGTGACTCAGACTCCAGGGTCCCAGGGTGGGGCTGATTAGGGGTTCCCTGACCACAAGTCCCGAGACTTCATCCCAGTGGTCCCTGCCCGTGTGCGTGCACGTGTGTGGAAGGGAGTTGTGGCAGCCACACCTTCCTCTCACCCCTGCCCCTTGTGCCCTCCCAGCCCGGGCCGTGGCCCATGAGAAGGCAGCATCCCCGGAAGCCTGTGCTACATGAGCCGGGGGAGGCGGCAGAGCTTGGGGCAGGCGGTGAGGGCAGTGCAGCCACTCAGGGTGAGCGCCCGTCCTTCAGTGTGCCCCGCCCAGCGCTAGCCGTCGGTCACCTCCACGGGCTCCTCATCCTTGCTGTCCGAGGGCTCCTCCGTGGTCTCCGTGTCCGACTGCGACACCTGCCGCACCAAGTCCTTGTCGGGGGGGATCTCCGGCTGCCCCGAGAAGGGGTTGCACCAGTTCAGGGAGAAGTCCCCACCGAAGGTCTCCTTGACCGGCTGCCAGCTGCACGCCTGCTGCCGCCGGTCCTGGTGCTTGCGCTGCAGGCGCTCGATGCCCTGGGAGAACGAGGGGCCGAGTCAGCGCGTCCATCCCTGTGTCCCTACGGGGGCCCGGGGGAGGAGCAGCACAGCAAGCAGCCCCCTCCCGCCGCCAACAGCCTCCCTCCCTGGGAACGCGGTGCTGCGGTGGACCCCGGCCTCTCTGAGCGAGCGGCCTGGCCACCCTCCTGCATTCCCGGGCTGCTCCCTCCTGGCAGGGGCAGGAGGAGGCCTCGCGGGCAAAGGGAGAGTGCGGGACGTGCGTGCCATCTGAGGGGTGAAGCGGGGCCACATGCGCGGGCAGCCGGGTGGCACAGATTCAGGGCAGGCGCGGGCAGCGGGGCTGGTCGTGCAGGGGACACCGTGAGGCCTCCCCAGATGACACTCACCTGGCTCTAAGTGCTGCTACGTGGCCACCAGGCCACAGAAAGAGGGTGCTGGGCAAGGAGCCCAAGGGGTTAGGGACAGGGCCAGGCCACAGTCCCACTCAGGGGCACGTGTGACCCCTGCGGCCTTGGCTTCTTCTCTTCTGCACCCAAGGGGCCTGGCGGGAAGTCTGCAGGCCTGCGTGCGCTCCTCTGCACAGCTCAAGCCCACCTCAGAAAGGTCTTGTGTACCTACTTCTTCTTTTTTTTGAGACAGGGTCTCACTACGTAATTGAGACTGACCTGGAACTCACTATGTAGCCCACCTCAGAAAGGTCTTGTGTACCTACTTCTTCTTTTTTTTGAGACAGGGTCTCACTACGTAATTGAGACTGACCTGGAACTCACTATGTAGCCCAGGCTGGTCTCGAACTCACAGTGATCCTCCTGCCTCAGCCTCCTGAGTGCTGGAATTACAGGTGTGCGCCACCACGCCCGGCTTGTGCACCTACTTCTAAGTTTTGTATTTCCCGCAAGAGCCTTCCATACCTGAAACAATCCTTTCTGTTATGAAGGCAGAGAAACTGAGGTCCACACAGTCTCAGATTTAAGTTTCTTGAACACCACTGGAAATTAAAGATCTCAGGGCATCTCCTCACAAAAGCCTCACGAAATACCAAGGGCAGAGCTGTCGGTAGCTTCACAGGGAGACACGGATGCCAGCCTAACCCGTGATCACAGCAGACGGCACCCACACAGCACTCCCCACGCAGGGTGCCCAGGATGTAACACCGCAGTGGGTCACCGCCCCACTCGGACCAGAGAAAAAGTCTGACAAACACAAGCGGAGGTTGTCTCTGCGGAACAGGCCCGGCCTCCAATTGGAAAACCGGTCAGTGTGTGAGGAAATTGTTTTGGAATCAGACAGAAGTGGTGCTTGCACAACAGTGTGGTTGAATTTACCGCCCTGGGATAGCACGCTTTAAAGGGATTCATCTCGTGTTGTCTGGATTTCAGCTCAATTTAAAATAAGGTCGAGGTTACAAAAACTAGAGAGAAGCTAAACTGAAGGAAGGTCACAGACTGGAGGCAACTAAAGCGATATGGCAAATGTCACGTGGATCCCGGCATAGAGAAAGACAGTAGAGAAACAACTGGAGCGATGTGAATACAGGACACATGGGGTGATTAAAGCATGCAGTGGTTGTTTACATTTTTAAAAGTATACAACACTAAGACACACTGCCACGAAGGCCCCTCGAAGTGTTTTCCTTCCCCTTGACCACACTTCTCCCATCTTTTTGCCACTCTGCAGCAGCTCTGGAGTCCTCTTTCCTGGGTTTCTCCACGAGCTGTGATAAAAAACAGTGGCTGCTGCTGCCCAGCGCCACTCAATGGAGAGGCAGCTCGTGAAAACAACACTGTGTCCTCATCCTCCTAATTGACCAGTTCTGGCATTTCCTTATAGGAAACTCCTGGCGATCCCTGGCTCTTCCCCAAAGTCAAAATGATAACAAAAGGGAAATGTTCGGAACTGGCCAAGGACACAGGCAGCCAGGAGAGCACAGCCGGGTCAACCCCTCCAGGCCCTGCTTTGCCAAGGAACTAACACTGCCCGGGTCACCAATGAGGCTCCCTGCAGGAGTGCACTGGCCAATTTCCTGCTGCGCCGTGAGCCTGTCTTTGCAAAGGTCTTGCTTCCAGGCTGGCCCTAAACTCCTGGACTCCGCTGATCTTCCTGCCTCAGCCACCAGTGCCAGGATGGCAGGCACACACTGCTGTGCTGGCTCACGGTGGCCTTTCCCTTCGGTGAGGTGACTCAGGGCGGCCACATCTTGGATGCTGAGCCTACAGATGGGAACCACAGGTAAGGACACGAGCCTGTGGCCACTTCCACCTGGGTCCCTTGGTTCCCCTCTCCTCCTGCTGCCTGAGCCGGTTCTTGGTCCAGACAATGTGACGGAGGGGTCAAGGAGGAGCGCTGGCCTGTCCTCCTGAGGGCCTCAGGTTAGGGGTGGCTCAGTGTCTGAGCACGGTGGCTGGCAGCTCCAGGGACAACCTGAAGGCCTCCCCTACCCTGCCAGCCCCGCTCATGAGCAGCACCTCCAGGCGGGCAGCTGGGCTGGGTACGAGGATGTGCCAGTTCCGGATGAGGCACATCACAGGCCAGGGCCACCTGGAGTCCTCAGGTCTCTTCTGCTTGAGGGTCCTGCGCCAGGCAGGTGGCCCAGAGCACAGCGCTTGCCTCGGACATGCGAGCTCTGATTCCACCCAGCACTGCAGAAACGAGGACCCTGCCCTCCCCTGGCTGGCTCACCCTTCAGACTGGTGCGGGCAACTCTGAAGAGAAGCCTAAAACACGCGAGCCTGGTGGCGAGGGCCTCTGAGTGCTGTGAGCCTCAAGAGGGGGGTTTTGTAAGACAGAGTCAGGCTGATCTTGAGCCACGTAGACAGGCTGGCCTTGAACTTGTCACAATTCTTGTACCTCAGACTCCCAAGCGCTGCTTGCACGGCTTCTTAGTAATTTTTTTTTTGTTGTTTGTTTTTTTGAGACAGGGTCTCACTATGTAGTTGAGACGGACATGGAACTCACTATGTAGCCCAGGCTGGTCTCGAACTCACAGCGATCCTCCTGCCTCAGCCTCCCAAATGCTGGGATTACAGGTGTGCGCCACCACGCCAGGCTCTGCTTAGTAATTATTAATCTCCCTCATCTGGATGGGTTCTGATCAGGACGGTGCTGCTGCTGCGTGGCCGAGCCATGGTGAGTGGCAGTGGCTGACCCTCTTGCTCTCACAAGGAAGTCTTCCAGACAGAGGGCAGGCGAGACCGACACGTGTCCACGCAGACCTGACCTAGGCCCTCCCTGCTCGGCGTGGTTGGCACTGACAGATGAATGCCTCGGTCCCTCTGCTTCCACTCCCAGAGCCATTGTGGGATACCGGCTGCCCACGGCTCCCCACGGGGCCACCTCCATGCATAGCCATCCTGTCGCTGGTCTGGAGCTTGAGGAGGGTAGCTGGGCTCTTCCTGTTGCACTTGTGTGGGCAGTGACGGAACAGGCCTGCTGGGGCTTCTGGTCTCGGGCGCAGTGTTTCTCTCTGTGTGAGAGCTGGGGACGTCCACTATGTCCAGCCAGAAGCTGGTGAGTCATGGTGGCTGCCCAAGGCCTCTTCTCTGGAGCAGGACCTTCAGAGCTGCTGTGTTAAGGGGGAAAGTGTAACTCAGCACTGGCACTGAGCACAGACCTGAGCTTCCTGGGAAAGACGACCCGGCCCTCAGAGGCTGTTTCCGCAGCCCTGGTGCTGGTCCCTGGGGAGCACCTAGCCTGAGGGGGCTGCGGAGTCATTCACACAGTCTGCTGCTTCCCTACCTGTGATGAAATTAGGGAAAAAGCACGTGGAGAACAAACGCTTTCAACTCAATCTGAAAACAGCCTCAGAAAACCCGAAAGCCACAGAGTGCAGGGTCTGGGGAGACCCCAGGGTGCAGGCATCTCAGCAGAGGGTGACGGCTCTCCGCTCCTCCCTGGACACAGGAGCCCCTCGGAGCTGTGCACAGACCAGGGCGCAGCCCCCGCCGGCCTCTGCCCCACACCCTGAGACTTGGGCCTTTCACTGTGGCCGCCGCAGTGAGCCTCGCACAGAGAGCGACCGAAAGGTCTTTGAAAGACACAACTTAAAAGCCCCTCACGCAGACAGGAAGCAGTGAAGTCGGACGCAGAGAAGACCCTGCGCCCTCACAATCTGCCTCCTCAGTTGCCTGGGACAGAGACGGTGATGCTGGAGCAGGTTTGAAAAGTTTTATTGCATCGTTTCCAAGTGGAAGCACTGACTGAACTGAAAAGAGGCAGCACGTTCCACCCTCAGGAAAATCACAGGGCTGGACCAGCACTCTCCCCACCCAGGTCCAGATCCAGTAAGACTCACCCCACCCTACCCAAGCCAAAGCTAAAAATGGAGGTTTGTGGCAATTGCTTAAAAAACCAAATCAGGGTGCAGAATTCCATGGTCGGGTTTCGTCGGGGCCTCGCTGTCCCCCAGCCATCCCTGGCCCTTCCCCCTGGCTCAGAGCTCCTCTCCGGGAGCCTCAGCCGGAAGTGCCCCCAGTGGGAAGGCCGGGCTGCTCCCCGGGCCGCGTCACCCAGCCCAGCCAGCGGACGCCATCTGTCCACCCGGGATGCTGCCTGGCCTCCGGGCCGGCGCAGGCCACGCGGAGCTGAGACACAGCTCTGTGCCTCTGCGGGCCTTAAGTGTCACCGGCTGTGTTTCCCTGCAGAAACAGCCCTGCTGAATGGACGTCTCCGTGGGGAGGGGGCGCGGTGGGCGGTGAGGAAGGCAGGTGCCTGACAAAGGGAAATGGAGCTTGTCTGAGCTGCGTGTCTTCCCTCGATTGTATAAGGCATTTTGAACCAGAAAAACCTTCCACACTTCCAAACACGGAGGGCTCTAACTGCTGACGGAACACAAATGAGACCCCCCGCCGCTCCCAGCTGGGGCCAACAGCCCAAGGCCGGTCGCGATCTGTGATCCTGTGCAGAAGGAGCAAAGCGTGTCCGCCGATCCTGCTGCGTTGGCTCGGGGGCCAGCAGTGTCTTCCATGAGGTCGCCAGTCCCCCCGGACGCCCAGCGTCGCCTTCCGGGCAGCGCGGGCCAGGGCCGTCCGCCCGCACCGCGCAGGTCACGTCTTGCGCAGTTAGTACACGTGGCACAGCTTGGTGACAGCACCTCCGCGTTAGTCACACCAGACAGACAGCAGAGAGGAAGCCAGAGGCCAGAGAGGTGATTTTAAAAGAAAAAAGAGCAGCTTCGATCATCAGAAAATCAAAAGGATGATTCTTAAAAAAATAAAATGAGTTTTTTTTTTCTCTGCAATGCTCAGCCATTTTACACGAGACATAAAAGTTTTAAGAGTAGTCATTTTGCTTTTCATCTACACATTCATGAGGACAGGTTGGGCGGAAGTGCTGGATGTGCCCGTGTCTGCTGGCAGTGCCGTGTGGCCCTCAGACCACGTACTGGTACGGGTCGGCCTTGCCTTGGTCTGGCGTGGCAAAGGGGCTGGCCCAGCCCAGAGAGAAGGGGTGGCCGAAAACGGCTTTCATGTTCATCCATTTTGTTTTTTTAGCCCATCTTCTCTCTTCCTTTTTCAACTGTTCTATTCCCTGAAAACAAGAACAATCACACTTTCAGTCACGCAATCTGCTGGAGTTTCGGGGAAGGGTGCCCATTACCTCAAGGTGACCGGAGCAAGTGCTTCCCTTTTAAGGCACCTACGTAACACATTTTCTTTCCGTCTCTCACAGGAAGTGTCATTAGAACAAGACCCCACTGTTTTGTGGGCACACATTTACAAGGCCCTCTGAGCAGGAAGGAAAATGAGCCCTTCAGCAGGTCCCCAAGCCACTGTCTGTAAGGTGGTGAGGGGAGGACCGGGCCAGGGCGTCCCTGGTTCCGGGGTGCTGAGGGCCCCTGGGCTGTGCTGTGGCTGCTTCAGCAGACGGGAAGCCTTGGAACAGGCAGGACCAATGGTGGCTGCGCATTTGGGACAGGCTCACGGGACGCCGAAGCTACTGTGACCACTTTGCAGACAAAAAAAAAAAAAAAAAAAAAAAAAAAAAAAGAAAAGGAAAGAAAAAGATAAAGGAAGGAACAAAAAAGCAAGAACTCAAATGGCCAGTCTGGCACTGAGTGAGGAGGGGACAGGAGCAAGCGGGGAGAAGGCACAGGGAGGACGGTGCGGGTTAGTAAGGCGCGCGAGGCACAGCGTCCCGGAGCCGGTGCCTTCTTCACAGCGGGCTGGGCGAGGGCAGGGCCGGGCCAGGTCCCTGCAGGGGCAGCAGCCCAGCAGGCGCCGTCGGCATGGTCGTGGGCCGCAGGGTTGTCAGGCCGAGTCTGAGCCTCTCCGCCCCACCTAGGGCCAGCAGGCCAGTCAAGGGAGGACTGCGCCCTCTGCTCCTTTCACGCCTTCCCAACACGGCTGCCCCTGGGGATCTGGCCAGAGTCCTGAAGAGGGTAAGGCCTGCCTGTCATCCGCCCCGCAGGTCTCAGGCAGAGAAGCCGGTCACTTCCTGCCAGCTAACATGGCTGGGTTCACATCACTGGCTGCTGTTTTTGTTTTTTTTTTTTTTTGGTACCTGGGATCGAACTTGGGACCTTGCGCTTGCGAGGCAGGCGGCGGCACCACTGAGCTGAATTCCCCACCCCACTGGCTGCTGTTTCTGCAGAAGCTCTTTGTGATGGCACTATTTCCCCCTCAGGAAGAGCAGTGGCGCAGAGCCCGGACCTTCTCACACCACTGGGCCCTGGCTGGGCGGCACGACCCCTGCTCTTTGCTCACAGCCGCCCATGCCCCAGCAGGCTGGCTGCCTTCCCGCACGGCTCCATGTGACCCTGTGGCCCAGGCAGCTCTCAGGGCGCTGCCTGGAGTTGGACATGGACTCCCGCACTCATAGCCAGAAGTTGCTGCTTCTTCCCAGGGTCCTCTACCTGGAACCCGAGGGCAGAACAGGACAAAAGGCACATCCCAGCCCCTCAGGGCTTCTGATCACCGCAGGAAGCTCAGGAGGGGGACAGACTGGGAGGGGACGGGCATGATGGGGACCCCCGCTGCCACAGGTGCTTGAGGCCCCGGGGGCTCTGCCTGCCTCCCCTGGGTTAGGGCCTTTTCCCCACACCTGTGGCCTTCAGATGTGTGCGGAGGACGGGGGGCCACCCAGGGCTGCAGGACACGCGTGTGCAGGAAGGTCTCCCAGGGACTGCCCCCACCTACCGTCTCGTCCGTGCAGATGGAGTGCACCTGTGTCCCGAACATCACCGACGTGAAGATGAGGAAGAGCAGCGCCTCAAAGCACAGCAGGATGAGGAGGATCACCGTGGTGGGCGGGGAGAAGGAGCTGCACTCTGGATGAGAGCGACCGTGGGCTGGGGGCTGCTCTGCGCTGGCCCAGCCTTGCCGAACCCCCCTCTGAGGATCTGTCCCGGGGCCCCAGGCACAGCCCTGGCGCAGAGGACCTGGGAGGGCTCTGAACTGGATGTGAAGGGCCTGTGACAGCCCATGCATGGATGCGGGCAGTGCGGTGGCCTGGTGGGCTCCTGGGCACTGCAGTACCAAGCAGGGGCCCCAGATCCAGGACAGCAAAGGCAGGTCCGGGCACTTGGTGGCACCAGGACGTGAGGCCTGGGCAGGGTATGGTGTGGCCCTGCCACCATGGCCCCACGGGGGAAGTGGTCCATAGCAGGTGCTTTCAGCAGTCTGAGCTGGGGACAGAGCGCACCCTGGCCCCACCGGCCATGGGCCCTGCACTGCTGAGCAGCCCTGTCCAGCCACAGGCGCAGTTTGTCCTGAGTGGGGGACTCTTTGGCCTGAACAAAGCCCATGTGAGAAACCAGCTCTGTGAAGAGATGAGGAGCTCTGGGAGGCCGGCGAGTGGAGAGGACCTGGGGCAGCCCCAGGCCCGGGGAGAGGTGCACCCCAGGGGCGGGCAAAGTGCGGGTTGCACCTGGGCCCAGGAGCTGCCCGGCCGGGGTGACTCCCCTGTCCCCCAGGAACACCAGAGGGGTGGGAAGCCCAGGCGGTGGGGCCCGGCCATGTCATCTCCAACGCTCCTGCTCCAGGCTGTCTGGGTTCCTCCCCTCAGGCCTTGCCCAGCAGCGCGTACTCAGGGCCTCCACGTGGTGCACAGAAGATGCCCCAGCACCTGCTCTGAGCCTCGCCCTGCCCACCCCACGGGGCTGTCCCTCCTGCCCTCGATCAGACCTGCGCATCTTGCCGCCCTCCAGCTCTAGGCAGAGACTCTGTCTTGCTCACAGCTGTACAGCCATCCTGAGGGCCTTGCCCAGCAGCAGCAGAACCTGGCAGGGGCTGGGCTCCTGAGAACTGGCTTCCCTCTGTTCCCTGGAACATCTGCCTGGCCCGGCCTGGAACAGGCACATGGGCACCGGCTGGAGGGTGGGCCATGCCCTGTCTTGCCTGCCTCAGCTTTGGGAGCCTGGGAAGGCAGGACCCGGATGTCTGGAGCAGCTCACCTCCTTGCTGGGAATCCTCATCCCCTGGGACAGCCCCCCCGCCACTGCTCTGGTGCCCAGCAGCTGGGCCAGGGCTGAGCAGCGGAGACAGCAACAGGCACCCACGGGCACTGTCCTGAGAGTGTGTCCTCCAGCTGGAGTCCTGACCAAAGGGGAGCGGGAGTGCGGCTGGGAGGACCTGGGCCCTGGAGCCAGTCCAACTGGGTGAGCACCCTGCTCCAGACCACAGCTTCACAGCTTGAACAGCAGGCTCGCTCCTTAGCTGGGACCCAGGGACCTGCCCAACCTGGGTGCCGGCTAAGTGGGGCGCACGCCCCACCCTGCACCGATGCTGCCCTGACAGAGCTGTCCCCGACTCCCTGCTGGCCCGAGGCCGAGGGTGGCATCTGTGACAATCTCATGTCCCGACAGCCCAGGCAGACGCCACCAGATCCTCAGCTGTACGGATCGGCAAGATCCGAGCCCTGGCCTGCACGCCACGGCTTCTGTCAGGCCTGGGCCAGGAGCCCTGGAGCTGGGGGCTGCACGGGAAGAGCAAAAGCCCTGTGGGTGGCGATGGAAAAGGACACCCACCGCAGGGAGGCCTTGCTGAGACATCAGCCTCACTGGTGCTTGTTTGTGACCCGTAATAACTACATTCACCTGGGGACAGGCACGTAAGCATGCTGCGTCTTTTTGTGTGTAGTAAAGGGGACTGAACCCAGGGACTGAACTCAACACTGAGCTACATCTCCAGCCCTTTTTTATTCTGAGACAAGGTCTCCCTAAGTCACTAAATTGTCCAGGCTGGGCTTGAACTTGCAGCCCTCCTGCCTCAGCCTCCCAGAGTCCTAGGAGTATAGGTGTGCACCACCACGTCCAGCTACACATGGAATCTTGATCATCTGCCTCACAGATTCTGAGTATGGAACATGGAGGCAGCAGGAGGCTTTGATACCCCCACCCCCGATGTGTTTCAGCATCTCTTCTCCCCCTCATGCCGGACTTCCTGCCTTGGCATCTGCATAGGTGGAACACTTCCAAAGCAGGAAGAACCGGTCTGTGGTCATGTAACTTGGTGATTATCGGAAAGCAGTTTGAAAACAACCAAGCACAAAAAAAAAACGAACATAAAATCTTTGAGACCTAGTGAGGAAGTTAAACATGTGCATCTGCAAGACTGGAAAGAAATGGCCTTTGGTGAAAGTGTGCGTCAGGGCTGGGGACTAGCTCGGTGGAAGAGTTCCTGCCCAGCGTGTGTGAGGCTCTGGGGTCCATCCCTGGAACCGCAGAAAGAAAAGGAAAAAGAAATGCGCCTCACTCCAGGAGCCTGGGGCTGTGTGCCCGGCCGCCACGGGCCGGTCACCTCTGCGTGGCCTGCTGGCCTCACAGGAAGGGGCTGCTCATACCCACGGAGGGAGACGCCGGCCCGGGCCGGTCCTGCCCTGTCCAGTCTGCAGGCTCGTGGGAGATCTAATGGCACAGGGCGGCCCGGCACCACAAGGTGACCTAGCCCAGCCCACCCTGCGGGCACCTCCCCTGGCAGGGGGCGGGCCCCGCTACTCACTTGTCCAGTCTTCTTCAAAGCAGTGCAGGAAGTGGAAGCCCACCATGATGAGGGCGTGCAAGGAGATGAGCGCTATGTACATCTGAAACAGGAGGGGCCCAGCTGACACTCAGCACTGCAGGCCGGCAGGGGGCAGCCGCGACCTCCCCGTCCCTGCTCAGGACCCCCGCGGTAGGGCAGGACGGACTCACTGTAAACAGGACGAAGTACTTCTGGTTGTTCTCGCCGACACAGTTGTTGACCCACGGACAGTGGTGGTCCATCTTGCGGATGCACCGCTTGCAGACGCTGAAAGAGCCACAGTCAGACCTCAGGGGTGGCCCCGGGATGCGGGAGGTGGGGGAACGAGGGCCTGGGTTCAGCTCCCGGCTGGGAAGTGGCTTCCGTGGGCGCTGGGGCCTGTGAGTTTTCCCAGGCTTTTAGCTACCGGTGCTAAATCCACAGGCCCCGCACCCCTTCAACCGTCAACCGCCCCCAACCACCAGCTCGGCTCGTCGCTCCCCTGGCCTGTGGCCGCCCTGCCGGACCCCAGCCCTTCCTCTTGCATCAGCACCCATGGTTGTGTGGGCTTTCAAGTGTGCGGCCCCCTGCAGCACTCACTGGGCAGAGGCGCAGTGGGCGCGGTCTAAACGAGCGGCCCGGCAGTCACTGTCTGCGGCTGCCTGGCCTCTCCGAGCCGGTGGACCCCAGGAAGTGAGCTGCATGGCGGCAGGAACACGGTGCGCGCCCCATGGCTCATACACGTGGGCACAGAGAGTGCAGCAACCCCAGAGGGCAGCGGCCGAGGTCCTGGTGTCCCCTGCAAGACCTGGGATGTGGGAGGTGCCCCAGGCAAGGCCGGAACAGGGAAGGGCCTCCCTCTGGCTTAGACCTGGCGCCACACAGGGAGCCCGAGGCACCCAGTGTGTCCTCCACCTTTGACCCTGAAGCCCCCGAGATCCGTCACTTCACAGGGACCCCAGACTAGGCCACGGAAGCTCCCAGGTCACCCTGAGCCGGGCTGCCAGCCACGCCAACACATGAGCCACATCCCGCCCACCCTGCTGGGGGCCCCTGGCCCTTCCGTGTGGCAAAACCATCCCGAGGTGCCTCCTCGAGGCTCTTTCCTTCACGTGCCTGGCTGTCCAACCTGCGCTCTCTCTAGCACCGGCCCTGTGTCCCAAGGACCCGCCGCTATGAATCGGGGAGCTCCTGGGCACAGGACAGGGTGCGCAGTGACAGTCCCCAAGTGGCCCAGTGCCTTACACAAATGCCCTCGCCAACCCTTCCGCGTCTCTAGGCCCCTCCTGCGTGCTGCGTGAATGTCACGAGAACGGCAGGTGTGTCCCCTCCCCCGCACCTTCTCCTCTCCTCTTCCCCCATTTCCCAGGACTTGTGCTCAGGTGGACCAGACAAGCTCTCGGGTCCCGTGCACCCACCCGCGCAGGTTTGCCTCTGTCCTTGGGAGGTGCCACGCCCTTTCTTGGTGCTGGCTGAGACTCTTCTGCCACCTGATGAGCCATGTCCCGTGGGACTGGGCTCTGGGGCTGAGAAGCGGGACAGCGGTGGCCCTGCCTGTGGCAGTCTTGGGGCCATGGCCCTTTCTGCCTAGGGGCTGCTGGGCCATGCTGCCCACCAAGCCTCCGATGGTGGCCAGGGCATGAGAGAGCAGCCTGGAAATACAAAAGCCACAGAGGACCAAGAGGACGGGGCTGACGTGAGGTTTTTATCTTCACAACACACTGGCACTGACAGGAAAAGCAGGAAACAGCAAATGTGTCTTGCTGTTGTGGGAAAGTGTGGAGGACAGGGGACCAGGGTCTGCAGGAGGAGGACATGCAGCTCCTCCACTCTGCTGTGCCCAGTAACAGCCAATGCTCAGAACACTACAGTGCCAGGCAGAACCAGAGCTGCCATCCTTGGCCTGGCCAAGACAGGGGCATCACCTCCCGAAGGAGACCTGACTGCAGGAGCTGGAAGGAGTCCTGCGTGGGCTGCCCTGGGCACGGAGACCCAAGCCGGACAGAAGGGTGGAGTTGGCAGGGCTGGGGCACAGCCTGGCACAGCCACATGGCACAGCACACATGCACTCCTGCCTGGGCTCACGCCGAGCTTCTCCAGCAGGTGAAAACTCTGGGCTTGGCCAACACAACAGGCCCAGGCCACCTGGAGCATGGGGGTGTGGGTCCCCAGGGCCACGCCATCGCGCTGTCAGGGCATTTCCAAGCAGCAGCAGGCTGCTACGGCACCCCAGGCTCCTCAGGTTGGCGTCTGTCTGTCCAAGCTGCTGGATGGATGGCACTCAGAACCTGTGCCTGGCACTGCCCCGGGAGGGAGGCCAGGAGGCAGTATGAGGCAGGGGAGGGCACAGGCAGGGAGACAGGAGTCGCCATGGCTACCCAGCACTGCTCCCTGCAAAGTCCAGCCCCTAGGAACCCATCACGCTTCCTTTTACCCCATGGGCTATGCCTGGTAGGGCCAGGTGACACAGGGGTTACACGGAATCCCCAGGCCAGCCTGCCTCACAGAGGAGAAGGCATGTGCCAAGGACAACACAGGACTCCAACTCCAACTTTGCCCATGTCTGGGCCAGAGCTCACCCTGCCCCACAGAGCAGCCTGAAAGTGGGGTTTTCACGGGCCACTCCCAAGCCCCAGGGTACCAGGAAAAAGGTGAAGCTGATGTCCCCCATCCCAGGCACCCAAGACCCAAACCCCACAGGGACAGCAGCAGCCAAAGGCCCCTGTGCAAAAGCCTAGGCTGTGCCCTCGAGCAGGCAGCCAGAAAGAAGGAAACAGGAGGGTGAGGGACAGGTGCTAGGCACAGCGGTGCTAGAGCTGCGCCTGTCTCGTGAGGGGCCAGGGCGGCCACGCAGAAAGGCCCCTCTCTCGCTCAGGGCCCTCACGCCACCCAGGTCCTGACCAGGGTGACCTTGCAGAGCAGACTCTGGTCCTCACCCCACCCCAAACACCACATGGTCAGAAGGGGACCTAGGGACGCTGTGTCCCTGTGACTGCACCTCAAGTCCTCTTGTGAGGACCATGCAACGAGTAGTGAGACAATGCAATACCACAAAGAAACACAGAACACAAAGGGCAAACTCACTGCTGAGAAGAGGGGAAGTTGGGTCTGGGGCTAAGTTCTACCCAGTCGGTCTAGGGCTAAGTTCTACCCAGTCAGACCCTCTGCAAGCCTTCTCTCCAGCACAAGCCCTCACTTTATGTGCCAGACAGCAAAGAAATGACCTTTGTTTTTCTTTTTCTTTTTTTAAGACAGGTTCTCGCTATGTAGTTCACCTGGCCTTCAACTGTGCAGTTCAGGCTGGCCTCAAACTCACGGCAATCCTACTGCCTCAGCCTCCCAAGTGCTGGGATCACAGGTGTGTGCCACCCAGCTCACAAATGAAACTCTAAGCTGTGTCCCTTTGGCACCTTGTCATGAGGTTGCGAGCAGAAGGAAACCCAGGAGTCCCTGCTTTTCACGCACACTGCACCAAAGGCTGGCCCACTGTGCCCGAGCAGAAGACGCTGGTAGTCCTGCTGCAGACCAGGCAGGGCACGCATGAACGGTGCGGGAGGCCATACCTGCAGTGGTGCGCGCGGTCGGGCTTGATGCTGCAGCACTTGGGACACTTGTACACCACCTGCCCGGGCTTCAGCTGCAGGCTCTCTATGAACTCCTTCGTCGCGTTCCCCTTGGGCACTGCTCCCTGCGAGAGAGGAGAGGTCAGGGCTGGGCTGGCGGCCGTCACTGTCAGCAAGGTGGGCACCTCGGCTGCCCGGACCTGTTCGGGAGGACACAGAGGACGCTTACTGACCAGAGGCCCAGCAGTCTCCCATGGCAGTGGCACCGTGTGGGATTCTGTATCTGTTCTGACCCTGCCTTCACGGAACCCACTGTTCCCTCGTCGACATGACAAGGACCCCCCCCAGCATTTGGGGTCCATGTGAGACTTCCTGGCACAGCGAGGGTCTCTGCACATCTCCCCAGAGAGCAGCTCACCCCCAGTGCGGCATTCCCAACCCAGCCGTGCAGCCCGGACCCGGGATGCCGTGAGGAGCCGCGGGCCGGGTTTGTATGGTTTCATTCCTGCCTGCAAAGCACCGTTAGACCAGGGTGGCTGTCTGCGTCACACTCAGTAAGCGCTCGGGCAGTGGGGCCAGGGCTGAGGCGTCTGCCCTGCTCCTGGACAGGCCACTGCTCGGCTTCTCACCGGTCAGTCTGGGTGGAGCCGGCAGGAAAGGACGCAGTCGCGCATGCTCACTGCCAGGGACCTCCAGGGCCTCTCAGGCCTGGCGCGTGACCTGCTAAAGTCGCTGCACGCGCAGAGGCTGCTGCAGCTGAAAGAGCCATGGGAGTAGGAGAAGTTGAAATTTTCAGAAATTAAAGCTCAAACTGAAAGCCAGTGCGGTGGCACCCACCTGTAATCCCAGCTACTGGGAAGGCTGAGGTGGGAGGAGCGTAGGCCAGACTGGGTAACTCCAGGAGGCCCTGTCTCAACTAAAACAGAGAAGACTGGAGATGCCGCTCATGGCACTACTTGCTCAGCGTCTGTGAGGCCCTGGGGTTCCTGCCTGTATAGCAAGTGGGAGAAGAAATGGTGCTGCAGGGCTGCCTGGGTGTGGGAGGTTTTCCAGGCGGAGCTGCGGGGGCCAAGGCCAGTAGATGAGGGGCCGTGGAGAGGCAGAGGGACCTGAGGGAGTCAGCAGGGCAGCCAGGGTAGCGGGCAGGGCGGCCCTCACTGTGGGTCTAATTCCAGCCCTCACGGTGGCAGATGTTTCTTTACAGAGCCTGGAGCCCACATGGTGACAGCAGGCTCAGGGCCCGATGAAACCTGACGCGCAGGAGCCACTGTGATGGCCGGGAAGGAGGGGCTGAGCTGCGGGGACATAGAAAGGAGAACACAGGGTGTAAAGGGGCGGGTGTAGCGGCGGTGTCGGGGGCAGGAGAGGAGAGGGACACCAGCCAGCAGCCTTGAGCCCTTGAGAACACTGGGGAAGCACAGAGCGTGTGTGTGTGTGTGTGCGCGTGTGACCAGTCCACTGGGCCTGCAGGGTCTAAGCGGCAGCGGGGATGGGCAGTGGCACACAAGGGTGAGAGCACCCTGCCCAGCCTGGGCCTGCTCTGCCCACACCCTCTGAGCTCTGCCCTGTGCCCCCAGCTACCCCGACTGCCGCAGCAGCAGAGCTCCAGGGAATGGCACTCTCAACCTGCACCCCAGAACAGAGCCCTTCCCTGGCCCTAGGCATCCATCTTCCCTGCCAGCCCTGGGGCAGAACCAGCAGGTGCCCTGAGCTCTTCCCATCTCCCCCATTCCACCCCGCCTGACCAGTGGCATCCCGGACTGCGCCCACATCTCCTGAGTGGGTCCCAACACTCCGCAAAACCCTACACTGCTGCACTCCCTGGTGGCCCTGGGGCCACGGCGATGGCTTTCAACTTGCAGCCAGCAAACTGCCTGCCTGGCACGGAGCCTGCACTCAGCGGGCCCATGTCCAATAAGCGACACGGAGGCTTTACTGTGCCAGGCACAGCTCCAGACATCTGCGACAAACTGCATCCTGTCTGCCACTTTTGACAGTGAGGCGACGTGGCAGAGACTCCCAGATCCTCGATTTATAGACAAGGTCACCGTGGCAGGCAGGCAGGCCAGGGACTTCCGAAGACAACACAGCTGATGAGCAGCAAGACAGGGACCTGGCCCCGGCCACCGTGGGCCACAGGAGCAGAAGGAGCGACAGCTCCTAGTAAGTGACCGGAAAAGGCTCCTTTATCCATGGCCTTCCACTGCCCGCAGCCGTGTCAGCACCACCAGATTCTGAGGCCGACACAGGCCTCGTAACAGCGCTGCTCCAGTGAGGGTGGGACAGTCGACCCCGAAAAGGACACCACAGAAAGCAGCGCAGAGGGTCCACAAAATGCCAACAGAAGAGCACATTTAAGAGGAGAGGCGTGTGTTGAGGGCGGGGCATGGGGCACAGCTTGTGGCAGAGGCCTTCCGAGCACGTGGGAAGCCCTGGCTTTGAGCTGTGGCACCCAGAGACGAATGGAGAGCAAGATGCTTGTGACTTCTTTCCTTTTCTTTTTTTGGGGGGCACTGGGGATTGAACTGATTGAACTAAGGACCTCACATTTGCCAGGCAGACACGGTGCCACTGAGCTACATCCCCAGCACTTGTGATTGCAATGTGGCTCCTGGCCTAACCAGCTTCATTAAAAAAGGGAAGAAACGCCAGCAGTTTCAGGAACTCAACACATGTAGCCAAGGACTGAAAAGGTGCTCGCGTCATGGGGCCATCATGCCCCTCTCCGGCGTCCCAGGAACAGGACGCCTGTCTCCTCCACAGGCGGGCAGAAGCTGGGGTCCCTCTGCCTCTCCGGAGCCTTGAGAGGCCTCACGGGCCCTTCCAGCCGGGTGGGGAGCCTGAGAGCAGGTGGAGCCAGCGCCTCCCCGAGCCCCTCTGCGACACCAGCACCAGGCAGGCTGCAGGGCAGTTACAAGGGACGCATTTCTACTCCTTCTGTTCTCCAACCTCAGATTTGAACTAATTTATGAGCTTAAAAGAATTAGGTCCAAAGGAAGGAGGGGCAAAAACACAGTGACCGAGAAGGTTGTGACCAAGAAGGTTGCACAACTGCTGAGATTGCGCAATGCCCGCTTGGAGACTCCAGCTGCAAGAAACAAGCCACGCTCAGCCGCGAGCATCTGCGAAGACAAGGTCCAGACCCAAGTGTGTGAGGCGTCCTGGAGGATTCACAGGATGGATGGGCTGGAACAGGGGCGGACAGGCAGAAACCGGAAGCGGGCAAAAGAAAGGCTCGAAGGCAGGGTTTCTGAGACCGGGCTGTCTTCAGGGGCCACCTCGAAACATCCGTGTCGCAGGCACACGGGAGGCTCCTAGGGTGACTGTTATGCAGCCCAGGGTGGAGAGCAGAGGGCACGGTGAGACCAAGCCGTCCTGGGTCACTGCCACCCAAGCCACATGTCGCCGGCAAGCCTGTGGCCAATGAGGTCCTCCTCAGCCCATGTCTCGGGGACAGCATCTCCTGTGAGGGCGGCTTACACACTCAGACACACACACATATACACTTTTGTGCACGAGGCATTCCCCTCTGCTCCTTTCTGTCCAGGCTATGTGAGGACCCAGGAGTAAGTGCCCAGAAAGCTGTGGTGGCTCCAATCGTCCTGAGATTACATTTGGGATAAAATTTCAAAGCTGGCAGTGGCATAGTGACAGTTTGGTGGAGACCATGCAAGAGTTTCTCCCTCCTTTTTTTCCAGCAGTGCCGCTACTCAACACCTACACTGCTTATAACCTGCACTCCTGACACCAAAGCATTATAATCCCATTGGGGACTCTGCCTGGGGGTTCTGCTTTGGAGCTGAGAGCTGGGCCCCCAAGGGCGCCCCAGGACCTGTCTCTGCAGCTCCACCCCACGTTACACTCCAGGTTCGGGGTGGGGAGGCAGAAGTGACAGGAAGAGCCTGGGTCGGAGCCTGTCTGCAGGACGTGCTCCTGCTTGCTTCCCTCACTGAGGCAGCGATCGGCTGCGACCTCATTTTCTGGCCTAGTTCTCTCCGGAACGGCAGAACACACCTGGGAGAAGCCGACCGATGTCTAGCATGTGGTCTGTGGCTCTCACCAAGTGCCCCAGGCCTCAGGCCCACCAGGGTCAAATCCCTGGGGCAGGGCTGGTGCTTTTTGATTTTTGAGCTCTCCAGCCTCACGGCTCCCATGGCGTCTGAGCTGCTGGTCTGCCGGCCCACTGCGGTATCCGAATCTCTGCTCTGTCTGCTTCCCTTTGGCCTCTGCACGAGCAAGATGTCAGCCACGTCCCACCGTGCTCAGAACAAAGACCGAGGCCCATGAGGCCCCCACAGCCTTGGGTGAACGTTCCTCCTCCACGCTATGCTGCTCCTCTGGCCCGCCGCCGTGCCCTCTCCTCTGTCAGGCAGGCTCTGCCTTGGGCCTTCATCTCTGTCGCAGCTGTGGCTGGCTTAGGGCTGCTCGAGTGGTGCCCGTGAGGGGAGGTCTTCATGGATCCCTCTGAAACCACCTCAGTCACATCTGTACTGCTGCAGCCCTCCTTAAGGGCTGGGGTCTGGAGCCAGCGGCCGCTCACATGAGTCCATCCGGCAGAGCCCCTAGGCCAACCACCCTGCTGCAAGCAGTCCTTGTATAGGGACAACCCCATCGTGTCTGTCTTTTGTCTAAAATCCTCAGAGGCCGAAGACCATGGTCTGGGGCACTGCTCGGCACACATTGCTCCCTCTTCCTGCAGTGCTGCCTGTCAGCTGCCCACTACCCCAGGGCTCTGACAGGACCAGCTCAGCATCAGCTCCCTGTCCTTCCACTGTGAACCACAGCCCTCCTCCTGGGGGCAGAGAGCGCTTGGGGCTTAGCAGATGTCGCAGTACAAGTTGAGCAGAAAGGCATCTTTACCCCTGCAAAGCTGACACAGCAGGCGTCACGGACACCGCTGCATAAACGCTCAGGATGATGGAGAGGACACGCGGGAGCGCGCTCTATGCCCTGGTGTCGGGACCTTTCGACCAGACCCACGGACCTCACTTCCTCCAGGTGACACTGCTCAGCGAGCCTGTGCCAGGCCTGCCAGGCACACACGTGTGACAGGAGGCACCGCCTGGGCCTGTCGCTGACACACAAGTGAGCCAGCTAGCTGCCTTCCCTGGGGATGACTCAGTCCACCACCTGAGCCAGCAGGAAATGAGCTCTTTCCCAAGGGAACTGTGCTTTCCTGGGGCCCAGAGAACAACGAAGCCACAAGCAATCCTCACCAACACCGGACTCTGATAACGAGCGGGAGGGAGGACTGAACGCCAGGGCAGGAGACAGGCCCGACGCCAGGTGCACAGCCTGTCACCGAGCAGCTCACCACCTTCCCCCAGTCACCAGAGGCACCCGCTGAGCCTGACTGAGCAGGCCAGGCCAGCTTTTTAGGAAGAGAGGAGCCTCGCCCGGGCAAAGAGCAGGCTCCATCCAGGCGGGCAGCTATCGGGAAGTGTCCAGTCTGCCGGGCCCGGTGCTGTCTCCACCCCGAATGGAGCCCCAGCAGGCTCTCCGTGCCACCCACCTGTCTTCCCACACACAGGGTGCGGCCAGCAGGGCACTAGTGGGTGCTCTCTCTCTCTCTCTCTCTCTCTCTCTCTCTCTCTCTCACACACACACACACACACACACACACACACACACACACACACACCAGGCTGTCTGTGACTGCGGAGCACCAGGTCCTATGGCCTGGGCCATTCTCCACATTCCCGGGGACAGGGTAGCATGAGGGCTGCGGCCATGCAGGGACCAGAGGAGGGTGGGGGCCGGTGAAAACGAGCCCAGACATACTCACGGGGTCCGTGAGCATGGCCCGGCAGTGGGAGGCCAGGGCCAGGAAGGCCAGCAGGTTGAACACGATCCCGTTGATGATGCTGTACACGTAGTCTCGGGATGGAATCAGCATGACAAAGAGGACCACGAACTCCGCGTAGAGGACCAGAAACCAGGTGACGATGGCACAGGCGATACCACAGCCGTCGCGGATGAACCACATGGTTCCCGCGGGCCCAGGGTAGGGAGGTGGCACGCACTTCTCCGGCTGGAGGTACTCGGGCTTCCGCTCAATGTCTCGGAAGTGGTGGGCGGGGGTGAGCATCATAGGCTAGTCTGTCCATCCTGGCATCTGAAAGAGGAGAGAAGCCAGACCCGGGTCACCCTGTCACTAGGGAGACCGGACAACAAGGCCCGCAGGTCTGACCAGCAAGCTCTTGTGAGACGTGAGTTGCCTTCCCAGCCCGTGTGCAGCTGGGACATCCTGCCTGCCGGACCTCCCCGGCCAGTGACAGAGGATGGCACACCCACAGGCAGGGGCAACACCAGGACCCGGGTCTGGTAGCCTCCTAGGGCTCTGCTGCACCCATTCTGACCAAAGACAAGAGCGGCAGGCGAGGGTGGAGTCAGTGACTGTGTGGGGAAAACTCTCTCCATGGCAATGTCACCGCCTCAAGACACAGCAGACCTGACGGCAAGTGTTGCAGCTGCGTGCGGCTAACGGAAGGGGTGGAAGAGGACTGGGAGCCAGCCAGGCCCAGCCCAGGCTGCAGCCATCAAGACCCTGCAGCCCTTCCAGCGCAACGGAGGGTCCTTAGCACAGCAGCCTCTTGTGGGGAGTCTGCAAAGCAGGGAGGTTTTGCAGCTTTTCCGGGGACAGGAGACTCTCAGGTCTGCTCCCCACAAAGCAGACTGGGCAAAGGGGGAGAAGGCTGGACGAGGAGCTCCAGACAGCTCCCATTGCCTGGCACGGGCTCCAAACTTGCTTCCCCTACTTTCCCAGCAAGGATAACATGTGCATCCTTGGTCTCCGCCTCCTGGGACCTGGGGTGGGGGTGTTGGGAGCTGGGGGGTCGGCAGAGGTGCCTGTGCCAGATGACAGAGGCTGGGACACCTCGCTCGGCTCACAGACTGCACGGGCATCTCAGCCTTGACTCTGGTCTCTGGAGGTGGCAATGACATCTAAGAATCAGGGACCAAGTTTCCGTCCCCAGCATATGCTATAGGATGCAGATCCTACCTCTGCTTAACCACATTTCTCAGAAGAAACCTGTGACGGCTCAAGTCCACTGCCAGATGCAGGCGCCATGGCAAAGCCACCTGGGGCCTAGCAGAGGAGCAGGCAAGTGACACCTGGTCCTTGGAGACCTCAAGCGATGCCATGGCAGGGCTGGTCACTCCACGGGGGCCCTGGCTGTCTGTGCCACCACGGAGGGCAAGGGCAGCTTCCTGTGCTGAGCTGCCTGCCTGCCTGTTTCCAGTTCCCTCCTTTCTCCATTGCCCTCACCCCCACAGGGGAGGACCTGGACTGCGAACAGGAGCCTGACTGGGAAGGACAAGGCTAGGAGGCGGGGGCAGGCAGGGCAGCAACGGCTCCTCACAAGCACAGACTGTTGAGGTCCACAGTCCCAGACTAACCTCGAGCAGCAAAGCCAGCTCCTGCAGCCCCCGCTGCCAGGGGCAGGGAATTAATGGCTGGGAGATGGGCACCGTGCACCACGTGCCTGTCCAGAGGACCCTAGCTCCATGGAGCCGGAGTGACAGCGCAGTCAGGACGCAGACACCAGTGCCAGTAGAGCAGCTATCTCAGGCAGAGGAGAGGGAATTCCTAGCGTTCATCAGCTGCAATTTTCTGGTACAACAACCCGTGCTCTCCAGAGGACAGTGACAACTTCATGCTGCCAAGGACAACCTAAATGCACTAAAGGACGTGGGTCCACCTTCAGAAGCACCAGGCACCTGAGACTGTGACCCAGGGGTATTTGGGCCCTGACCTGGACCAGCAGACTCTGAACTCTGAGACCAAGCCGAGCACACAAGTTGATATCCAGCAGGATTCAAGGGTGGCCAATCCACAGCCGGCCACCTCCAACACGGCCTTCCTACTGCCTTCCAGACCAGTACACACCACCAGTAATACATTCCCAGCTCGCAGCTGCCCCGCTGAGCCACAGTGGCAGAGGCTGGGCAGGCATGCCGGAGACCACGGGACCTGTGCGTCCCAGGGTCCACCCTCCATCCCTTCGCAGAAAGGCCTGTTGCCCTCTGGTTCCCACAGGTCAGTGAGAGAGCTATTGGACCCCGCCTCCCCTGCAGAGTTCAGTGTGACAGAGGGTCCTGGCAGCCCCTCCCACGGCCACCTGAGCAGCAAAACCTTCCGCCTGCAGTCGGAGGCGAGGCTGCTTCCACCATCAAACTGCCACCGTCACAAAGGTGTGGCCCTCAAGGAAGGATAGGTGATCGCTAAGAGTAAATCCACGAGTCTTCTTCAGACCCTTCCTGGGATCAAACTACACTCACAGTGCAGCCAAAGTGACGGTGGTCTCCAGCAACACTGTCCATTCTGGGCCGTGACTGATTACACTGGAGCTCTGCTTCCTGTGTGTGACTCTGCTGTGGGGGAAGACACAGACAGAGAGAGATCGGGAGGGGGCTGCAGAGGCTCCTGCTTGGCCTCCTGCCAACCCGCCTGCCTGCTTGGCACCTTCCGAACCCTGCTGCCTCCTTTGCAGTCGTCTTCCTCCCCCATTGCTGGCCACTGTCACTTCTGCATCTGCAGCCACCACACTCGGGCACGCTGTTCAGACAGCGCTAACGGCTGTGAGCTGGAAAAGCTGCCAAGGGGAAGCCGAGCTGGGCGAACCCGTGTAGGGAAGGGGCTCACTTCCGGGGCGGAGCCTCGGGGCGCCAGATAGGCGCTCCTCGAGCCTCCCACAGGGCCTGGCACACAGCAGCTTCTGCACAGGTGTCACGCGGGTCAGATGACCCCCAGGCCCCCCCAGCCCTGTCCTGTGCTTTCAGGGCCCGGCGACTCCTGCTCGAGGGGCAGAGTGTCCCACCTTGAACAAGCGCGGGAGCAGTAAGTGTACAGAAGCGCTGCTGCCACCCCTTCCTGCCGCAGGAAGTGCCACAAGAGCTGGCAGGAAGCACACGACTCAGCCAAGTGTCGCCTGAGGGCACCTCCACCCCACACTTCAGAGTTTCAACAGTGTCAGCTGAGACCACAGGCTGAGGGCTGCTTCACCCTGCTCTCTAGTAGGGACCGTGGCCTTAGTTTGCCAACCTAGCATGTGAGGAATGTGGGCGACACCCACTTGAGGGGAGCTGTGCGCTCCCTGCAGCCTGTGCCCTGCAGCCTGTGCCAGACAGCCAGAGGGGACAGGGGCCCTCTCTCCTTTCCACCTGCAACCGGGGAAATACATCCTGGGGCTCAGCTGCAGCACTCGGCCAGGACCCGGCTTCCCTCGAGTCCTTGCTCCACAGCACCCCTGGGTGCTGGGGCCGCGTAGGGACTGCGAGGAGGCCCATGGTCCAACTGCGCCACGGCCCCAGGCCAGAGGCCGCTCTCCACCTTCTCCCTCTTCTCCTCAGTTAACTCCAGAAGACATTCATGAGCAGCAGCCACTGAGCCCAGGAGCTGTGCGAGGTGGGCGAGGGGGGGTGTATCAGGTTTGTGCATCCCCGCCACGCCTCCTCCAGATGCAGATTATTTCCCCTCATCTTAAAGATGGGGATCATCTACACAAACAGCCAGGGATACAGCTTTCTGGGGCCCTATGAGTAGGAACTATTTGGAATGGAAACTCAGCAGCCCGCAGAAACTCCTACAGTAGGAGGATATAGGCTCAGACAAACTTGTTTCAAGTGAATTTGTAACATTTTAACAAATCCTGCCAGGCTGAGTAACTTAGTGATTTGATTTAGCAAGACTCTGTCTCAAAAGATAAAAAATGGAAGGAGATTACAGCTCAGTGCAAAGGCCCTGGGTTCAATCTCCACGGTCAACAAACAAATGTAGTGTTGCGATGGACACGTAGTGGGGGATGGGGCTGGGGCCGGGATTCTCTGGAAAGCTTCTGTTTAAGCTCATTACTATGAGAGCTCAATCACTCAGTGCAACCTGAAACAGTCGGCCACTTACAACATCACGTCCAAGTGCACCGCCACTCTGAGTACAACCGTAGCCTTCTGCGGTTCACATCCTGCTGTCTAAAGAACATGGTGCTCGACTCTTCAAGGACCTGCAGACCTCAGTGGTCCACAGCAGGACAGCAGTCTTTCCAGGCTGGTCCTGAAACTCAAGGACAACACATGACCTCGCCCTAGAATCTTTTTTGTCTGTTTTTTGGAGGTTTTTTGGGGTACTGGGTATCAAACTTGGGTCCTTGCACTTGCTAGGCAGGCGGCAGCACCGCTGAGCTGAATACCCAGCCCTCACCCTAGAAAATTTACAAATGAATCTGGTCAGGTTGAACATTCATTTATCTAAATAACAATTTAATTTAAATGTAAGAATCCAAATGGCTTGTAAGATGTCTGCCCTTTTTTTGGGAAGTCTCAGAAAAACAACAGCTATGCATTACTATGCTTTAAATACTTCAAAACAGAACCGCAGCGCCAACCGCTTGTTCTGAAAGGTGAGGCATGGCACAAAGCCCGGCGCGGTGCCCAGGCAGAGCCAAGTCTGTGCTCCGGGACTGGGGACCACAGCCTACGCTGCTCCTGCCTAACCAGAGGGTCTGCCTCCCCCTGCCTGCCTCTGTATGTTGGACTCAATCTTCTACAAAGAACCTTGGAGGGATAAAGAGAAGGTAAGAGATCGAAGCTATGAACTGGGCTTCACCCGTGAGAAGGCCCGCCCAGGAGAGCAGGCAGTAAGGAGTTAGCTGCTCTCCCTCTCCCCTCACACCAAACCCATCCGCGGGGCACGACTAGAACAACGGTGACCTCCATTTCAGAAAAGTATGGGCTCTGGGCAGCGGCGCAGGGTGACGACAGTCCCTCTGCTGCCAGTGGCTGCTGTGCCCTCTTGCCAGGTCTACTGAAGTGTCTGCCACACGGAGTGTGACAAAATCCATGTCACCAACTATAGGGATCAGTTGGGTAACAAGTTCTAATTTTGCTTTCTATGGGTGTGGTGTATTGTATGTTGCAATGATGAGAAAAACTGAGACAATGTTAAAACAGGATCATATACAAGATTAACTGGCA